CTGTCCTGTGAGTCATGGTCTGGCTTCCTATTACTTCTGGGTGCAATTTAAAATTCAGGTTTTAACCTATAAAACCCTCTATGGCTTGGTCCTGATCTACTTACAGGGTCTTATTTCTTCACCAAGTCCTCAAAAAACTCTTATAACAAATGCTGAACTTTTAGTTTTGGAAGGCTAGCTTATGCCTAAAGTTTTGACCATTAATTTCTCAGGACACTTTTACATGGATGAACTGTTAGCTAGTGAGCCAGCCCATATGTGAACGCAGTCTCACTATTCAGGAACCAAAGTTAAGCAGTCATTGCTGAGACTCACCCAGTCACTATTATATCACTGAACAGGTTCAGTCAAATCCTGCATCCTCTATTTCAGCTTTTCCCAAATGGTGCACCTCAAAATTCCCAGAAAGCAGGAAGAAATTATGTGAGTTGAAATCCGTCTTATCTGGAGAATATCAGGTTGATGAAAGCTACTTTACCTCAGTTCGAAGTATTCATATAACAGATACAGCATTAGTGCACTCAGCCTCCATATATATCTGGCTTAATACTATGCATTAAAAACTTTTTTGCAGTCAATTCAATAACATTTTTGGGTCAAGCAGGCATTTGGTGACTATTGGTCCAGATATCAAGTCCAATTTAGATTGCTTCAATATTTTCCATATCTCTGTTTTTAAAAGCACCCTCTAGATCAGGGCTGTCAAACTCACGGCTCACAGGCTGGATGCATCACACACTGGCAGGGCCGGATTTTCCTATAGGCTAACTAGGCTTCAGCCTAGGGCCCCAAGATCAAGAGGGGCCTACATTCAAATTGTTAGCAAAATTAAAATTACACTTTCACTATAGGTGAAAGGGCCTCATAAGTGGAATAGCCTAGGGCCTCTTTTCATCTAAATCCGGCCCTGCACACTGGCCATGCCCATGCCTGGTTTAGTGAAGAGGGAAAAAGTCCTGATATGTTACGTGACACCGCCATGACGCCATGAGTTTGACAGTCCTGCTCTAGATGGAACTCAGAGCATATTCCAGCATTTTCATATCTCCTGAAACTTTATTTTGCTTCTTTTTTAATGGCAGGTAACTGAAAATGTCAGACACTGAAGAAATCATTGAGGAATATGAAGAGTAAGTGATTTTTGTCGTGCAGGTTCCACTTTGACAGAGATGGACAATACATAAATGTGAAAAATAAATAAAATAAATGTTTGTCATGCCTTTTCAAATTCAGAAGGCCAGCAGGTCATTAACGCTATTGTTTTGCTATTACTCACAATTATGAATGTAGTTATGGTTAGTTCCTTTATAAACGATGGTTAGGAATTACAACTATGAGACAGTTTGAGTAATAACAAATGCCTTGAGAAAAAGATTGATGACTGGGGAAGACACTAACTATTGTATATCTATGGACTCAGCAAAAGTGAAAGTATATACCACCACACTTCTTGGAAGTTATTTGCATGGTAAACATTGCTGTTTCTAGGGTTGTCAATAGCAATAGCACTTAGACTTTACAGTCCTCTCTAAGCGGTTTATAGAATCAGCATGTTGTCCCCAATAATCTGGGTCCTCATTTTGCCAACCTTGAAAGGATGGAAGACTGAGTCAATCTTGAGCCAGTCAGAATTGAACTGCTGGCAGTCAGCAGAATTAGCCTGCAATACTGCATATTAACTACTGTGACACCAAGTCCTTGGTGCAATACTTTTGGTGAGCCTTTACTTTCTAAACATGATAAGTCTAATCTATCCAAGTACCAACGTCACTGGAAAACATTAGCAAGTCAGTTCTTTTTTTTCTTCCTATTTTCTCTGCTTATTTGTCAGTAGCTAGCACATGAAAGAGAAAAAGAAATAGAAATCAGCAACATGAATCAGAAATGAGGAGGAACAGAAGGATCTTGTAGCTCCAGGGGTTGGCTTTGAGCCTCCTTCTGAAGCTTGATCTAATTTTTACCTCTGGCTAGGATGTATTATTTCAGAGATGATATGTCTCTATTTGACAGTGTTGTCTGTGTATTGTATCCATTACAAATCAGATATAATATAAAAAATCTTGTGAGGGAGAAAAGGGAGCTTGATGTTCTTCACCAGTAGTTCTTGATGGTAGACTGAGCAAGGATGACCTTTTCACAGTCATAACCACCAAGATAAAGAATATTCCAGTGTCATTTAAATGGTATATTATTTCTAAATTTGTAATATATAAATATAACTTAATATACATACCTTTATGCAAATTTTGCCCTCTTTTTATTTCTTTCTAAAACACCCCTTTGAGGAAAGCATGTAAAGAACAAGTTCATAAAAATTGCCTGACACTGTAATCAACATAATGGTCCATTCAGTTCACTCTCTTCAACTCTGGGTAGCCAGGTGAACATGGGAAACTCATATTTAAGTCATGATGACTGTGAGGTTTATTCCCAGCATCAGCCTTCAGCACTGATAGAGCTAATCACAGCAATACTGGGTAATGCATTTTTGAGGGTAACAAGGCATGCAGCCTGATCCAAAAGCCTAGCCTTGACTATATTAATATTAAATTGCAAATAGGAATAAAATTTCACTACCCCTAATATACCTTTACATGTTCCAGGTTACTCTAAAAATAATTTAATTGATACTGATCCTTTGTAGTAATTACAAGTCTTCACAAGTGGGGAAGATTATAGTAGTTTGAAATATTTTGTCTTCAGGAAAAACTATAAATACAATAATCAGGAACCACTGAAAGGTCACAGCACTCTTCATATCTTGGCAGTCATTAGGCTGCTTTTCACTTGGTTATGTTTGCAATTCTAGAAGTTCTTCATACCATTTGGATGCCCGGTTCCTCCCATTCTTTCACACTTTCTCAGTTTCTTGTACACCCTCAATCCAATTCACTGAACAGTTTCTCATGTGCTCTTGACTTCAGCTGTAAAACTTCACCAGACTACTGGAGGGGAGGGGAGGGGAATCTTTCAGAACTGTCTGGCTCCTCCTGGCTCCATGTAACCAACACCTGTTCCTGTTACTTGAGCTGCATCTCCAGTTGATGCATAACATGAACCCATGCATTAAAATATCCAATAGACTTTATGCTACTTCCAGCCTAATGATTATTCCTCTGAAGTCCAAAATATAAACATTAAACATGATTTCATATAAACTAGTTAAGTTCCTAGCGAATAGTTACACTGTTCGGAAAAAGGAATGTAACAGTGAAGCCTAAAAGCACCTTATCTTAAAGTGGTAAAGCTTCAGAGACACAAGTCGCACAGTTTTAGGGATGAGATCAGGACTATCTTGCTACATCTGCCTCCTCCTGTCTCATAACTCTTAGATGAAGAACCAACTGTAATTTTGCTTTGTTATAAAAAGACTGAGCTCTTGATCTGCAAAGTACTTATAAGCAGATCAGTTCATTATTAGGGAGGCCACCTTTCACTTGCAAGATTTTGCTTCTTTTTTATTTTTAAATTATCACTGCAAAGGTGGGAGCAGATGCTGCCAGAATTCTCTGTAGTTTCCCATTCTTTCTTAACTATTGGGTGAGTGCAGACAGTGACTTTAAGATATACAACATCAGAAGAAACTTCTAATGTCCCTGAACCCCAATTTATATTAATCACACGTTTTGATTCTCTAGGACAGTGATGGCTAACCTTTTTGCCATCGTGTGCCAAAAGGGGGGGGAGTGCGGGGTGGGTCGCACATGCATGTGCCCACACCCATAATTCAATTCCTCCTGCGCCCCGCCTCCCCACTCACATACGTGTGCGACCCCCCCGCTTCGCACTCCCCTCACTTTTGGCACACAACAGCAAAAAGGTTACTGGTGGGCCCGGTAGGCCCATTTTTCACCCTTCCCAGGCTCCAGAGGCTTTCTTGGAGCCTGGGGAGGGCGGAAACGGCCTTCCCCACCCCCCTGGAGGCCCTCTGGAGGCTGGAAATGGCCCGTTTCCCGAGTTCCAGTGGGCCCGGAAGGCCCAAAAATCAGTTGGCTGGCGTGCACATGCACGCTGGAGCTGAGCTAGGGCAATGCTTGCGTGCCCACTATATGGCTCCGAGTGCCACCTGTGGCATGCATGCCATAGGTTTGCCATCATGGCTCTAGGATGTTGCTGAAGTTTGGTGGCAGTTTGGTGCCCCAGAAACCGCACATAGGCCATCCACTAGTAAGCACCAAGCACTATTTGAAAATACCCACATACACAATCATAATGTCTGTATGTGTATAATACAATTACAAAATTCACACAAAGAAACACCTCACAAGATTACTCAAGAATAGAGGGAGGAAGAATAAAGACCCCATATTGTACTCAATGAACCTACAACCTGCAAATAGATGTTGGTTTTGCTTTTGCTTCAGAGTCAACTGAAATAAGGTGTCCAGATGAGATTTGAGGATAACTTCTGAGATAGGAGGACATCTACTTTAGCAGAAGTATGTTTATAGAAGCTACTGCCAGGTAGAGTTCTGGACAAATAAATCAAGTCAGCTCCACAAAAATAGACATTGTGATCATGCAATCAATCAGGAGTCAATCCCAAAGTATTTGGTTGCAATTTTATATTTCGAATTTCATATATAGTATATGTTTTAATATTATGTAATTTTGGTTTTGTTTTGTTTTGTTGTTTGTTCATTTTTTGGTGTAGACTACCCAGAATAACATTGGGGTACTATAAATTTATTTAACAAATACATTTATTTAACAAATATAAATTTACTTAACAAATAAAATAAAATAAAGTGATGGCAAGAATTGCTATGGAAGTGCTCAAAGACTTCTTGGCCCATTGATTACTAATAAGCTGATGTGCTTCTGCATCGTAAAACCTTTTGTTTTGACAGCAAGACTCCTTAACTTGAAGCTGATTGTTTTTTTTAAAAAACTGTTTTCTGTCCTGCTTTAAGAAAAGAAAAGCTCAGACATTATTCTAATCTAGCTTTTTTCTTTTTTGCTTTACAGGGAACAGGAAGGTAAGGCAATGAAAAAAAATCATGTTTGGTAGGTTTTTTAAGATATTCTTAACAAGTTCTAATGTTGTTCTCCTTTCTTTCTTGGTTTATCTTGCTGCAGAAGACTGTATTGAAGAAGGTAAGTTTCTGTTGTTATTAGAAAAGTCATAGTTTTATGTCTTTTAAAGGAATGTAGAAGCACAGTGAACAACAAAACAAGATTTCCCCAAAATACAAAACAAGAAGTGTTGTGATACAGGAAAGGCAGTAATTCATTTAGCACAAGTTCCCCTAAACAGCAAGAGCAAAATTCTATGTACTTTTTAATAAATATTATTTCAGCTCAAAAGGAAAGATTCAATTATTCCTTTTTTTTGGAAGGAAAAACGTGGAAGGAAATGGATACTTGCAATTACAAGAATGCCTTATTAGTATTGGTAGACATAGGCAGAGAGAAATACGAGCTGGCCTAAGTACTTTTCAGTTTTATAACATTTGGCCTTATTATAAGGTATTCAAAAGTTAGTAGGTATCATTATTATTAATATGTTTATAAAATCCTTCCTGACAACATAAATAAGCAGATTTGGAGGAAATATTTCATAGAGCGGGAGGTTTTATCAATGTAAGTCCAGGCACCTTATCACAGATAAGAGAAAATTCTTTTTAATACAATAAGTTGGATTTGAATTGTTAATATAATTAGTATTGCATACCTTTCTTATTCTTGTGCTTGTTTTTTTTATTGTAATACATTTGTATTTTGAATATATTTTGTTTCATGTCACTTGTTTTGTCTCCTGTGTTGTGACACTTTCCATGGTTTTTTTGAATGAAAGTATTATTAAGGTATATTATAGCATAAAATACAATGAAAATAAAGATTAAGAGTTTGTTTTTCAGGCACGAATAATCAGGTCCATACATGAAGATTCAATTAAACTGATTTATTGCTATAATCATACCTATGAACAGAAATTTATTCAACAATTAACACCTGCTTGGAGTTAGATGAGGGTTAATGGAATTCAAGGGAGGTTGGATTTAGCTTGCTTATGGTTATGTAGGGATTCTGGGCTAATCCCTCTTTTAATTCCACCCCCAAGTTCTGCCATTCCTCCTATGTGGGGAAAGAGCAGAATAAAAAAAGAGAAGAGAGAGAAAAAAAGTGTGTATATGAGTGTATTCTTTCTCTCTTCCTTTTCAACATAAATACTTTCCAAATTTAATTTCAACATTTTTTACATTAACAATAACCTATTCATTTCATTTTAGAACCCACTTTATAAGCACAAAATAATGCATTTGGAACTTTCTTTTAATTGCATATGTCAAACCAATAGAAAATCATCCTAACTCCAATTAATTTATTAAGTTTATGTCACTCCCTCCAGTTTATCCTGATAAAATATAACCTTTTTCTTCTTCATAATGTCTATAAAATATAAACTTCTGTTTTTCTTAAGAGATTCTCCAATATGACTTTTAAAACAAATATGTCAATGCTGCCAATTTCCAGTTTGATTTTGAAGTGGAGATTCCCAAACTTATTCTCCTGAGGATTGTAGATTTACTTGCAACTCTTCTTATTTCAGTTGCACTGGGGGACTTGTAATTAAATCTTCTTCATAGCAGGCACTGTTGCTGTCAGATTTATATTCCAAAATTAGGGTTACGTCCTCTGTATTGTCAAATACTTGTGCAGTAGCTTCAGTAGTTTGATAACTTTCTGTGCTTGGTTGCATCTCTGGATTACTCATCTTTCTTCCAATTATTTGAATATTTTTCCCCCTTGTTCCTCTTTCATGACATCTTTAGAACATAGTTGATCTATAAAATGAATTGTTTTATTTAAATAGGAGCCATGGTGGTGGAGTGGTTAGAATGCAGTATTGCAGGCTAATTCTGCCGACTGCCAGCAGTTTGATTCTCACAGGCTCAAGGTTGACTAAGCCTTCCATCCTTCTGAGGTTGGTAAAATGAAGACACAGATTGTTGGAGGCAATATGCTTACTATATAAACTGCTTAGAAAGGGCTGTAAAGCACTATGAAGTGGTATATGAATCTAAGTGCTATTGCTAAGTGCTACTCCTCAAAAAAAAAAAATTGCAATTTTTTTGTTTTAGATGTATTTGATGTTCTTTAGCTCCCTCTTGTGGTCAAATAATCAATTAAAAATATTTTTGTAGATTAGCTAGTATCTATTGGCCAATCAGAATTCATTAAAATCAGAAGTGTTCAGTTTCCACAACAAACAACTGAAAATTGCAAATTATAACTCCCAATAAAGATAGTAAATTCATGGAAATGACAAAATGAAACCATAGCTTTTTAAGTCTTTATGTTTTTCCATCAAAATTTGAAAAATATATATATACTCCACTCTTCCTTATTTTAGTACACCTTCTGCAACCCTCCTCCTCATTCAACAATAATGATGTACCAAAAATGGCACAGATCTTCAAAAAGAAATAACAGGCTATGACTGAAAAGAGACTCCTTTAACTTAGTAGTAATAGCACTTAGACTTATATACCGCTCCACAATGCTTTACCACACTCTCTGAGCTGTTTGCAGAGTCAGCATATTGCCCCCAACAATCTGGAAAATTGCCCCTTTAAAGTCATATGACCCCCCCTCCTTTTCAGGCTCCACAGAAGACTGAACAAAATCCAACTGCTTTAGCAGAGAAGGCTTTGTTCACATAAGTTTTGAACCACTTCTAAGTAGTTTTTGAAGCATGCACAGTCCTGTTACTTTTATATAAAATGAACTGAAACAAGTACGTTAAATTCAGTCTGAAATTATGTTTCCGACACTTGCAATTTTACATGAATATTTTCTAATTATCTGAGTGATGGCAAAATACTGATATCTGCTTGTACATGTTTGTACAGATATGTTTGTACATATCTGTTTGTATATGTGAATGTTCTAGATTGTTTGGCTCTTAATATCCCATTTTCTTGTTAATGTCTGGCTTCATAAATGCTTGGCACCTAAGCTCTAGTCATGTGCACAACAGCAACAGCAACCAACAAACCAGCACCGAAGCATATCACCTACTGTAGTTGTTTATTGATACTTTATTTTGATGCCACTGCTTCTTATAATCCTTGCTAACCTTGTGTACTTATTCCCTTTCACCACCCTGCTTGCCTTGATTAAGAAGAGGAAGAATGGATAGAGGTGGAAGACGGTAGTAGAACCTTTATTTTAATTTTACTTTATAAGTACTTCTTCATGTTACAGTAGGAATATTTATCTTGTATTCATGTCTGGAAGGACCATATGTAACTGAAATATACATCATCAGTAGGACTATTTAAACCACAAACATCACGAGGTCTAAGAATGGGAAGTGTAATACTGAGGAAAGAAAATAGTATTTTCCATATAACAGAAGCCATTTTCATTTGTAATAAGATAGAACTGGAAAATTCTAATATTCCATTTCAGAACTGAAAGTTGACAAACTGTATCTAACTTACCTAATATCTTGGCACTATCTACACGGTTATCATACAGAGGATGGAATGGATTTATTCTCTGTTGCTCCAGAAAGGAGGCTTAGAATCACTGTCTAAAAATGATAAGGAAGCGAGTTTTGGCTGCTAATCATATGAACTGTCAGGTAGTGGACCAAGCGCCTACACGAAGTTCTCCTTCTCTGGTGTTCTTCTGTGGAATTTTCCTTCTTTGGAGATTTTCAGACAGTCTGGATAGACATCAGTTATAGATGCTATAGTGGATCCTGTACTTAGTAAGGGACTAGATATTTAAAGAATGACTTATTGAGATCTCAGTTCATCCCAGAATTCTACCTCCTTTCCTTAATCATCATGAAAGATATTTATCATTGAATCAAAATGTAACTAATGGGCATTTTGGAGAGGGCTGGGTTTCTTTAGGAGTTACTGGAATCACAAATCAGTGATGGGTAGAACCAGAGGCAAATTGTCACCCCTTTTCAACATCCTCCTGTCTTTTTCTCTCTTCTCTGTTTCTAATACCTTCTTTTCTTTTTTCCTCATACTGAACATATTGCTTTTCTCAGAGGTCTGAATTGCTTGCTTGAAAACAGTTTTTGAAATTAGACCAAGGAAAGACATCATCAAATTCAGCTAAATGTCACACATAACCACAGGACTGCTGTTTCCCCACTCTTTTTTTTTTTGAACTCGGCTCTTTTTCAGCTCTTCCTCTTCTTTCACCCACCTTCCATAGCCCAACACTAATATATTTTTTTAAAAAAATTATTGGTTCATCTCTGTATACTTGCATTTGGTGGTTATTCTGGTGTTTCATTTTGTAGAAGAAGAAGAAGAACAAGTGGAAGAAATCAAGGAAGATGCAGAAGAAGCCATAGCAGAAGGCATGCAGTGATATTCTGCTAAACTAGTTTTGGGTGATACTTTTTTGGGGGTGGGGGTTATGGGTATGACAGTAAGCTCTTTTACAATGCAGAGATGTATGAGATCTATAGCTACATTTTTATAAAGCCTCACAGTTATATGTAAATCGTTAATGTCCCTACTTCTACTGGTTTATGTTTCATGGGTATTACAAGAAAGCTCAGAAACAGAAGAAAATAATTTGTGCTTAGTGAAAGGGAAAACATTCATTAGCAGATACCCTTTCCCCACCCCAGGTCTCTTCACGTATGCATAGAAGCATAATGCGAATTTAGAAAAATCAAGGTTTTGTTGAAACTAGCAATTCCTAATGATAATATTAATATATATATATATATATCTTTAGCCAGGTTCTTCCTGGCTAAATATTATATATATATTATATATATATATATATATATATAATATTATATATATAATATATTATATATATAATATAATATAATATATATAATAATAATAATAATAATAATAATAATAATAATAATGTCCCGTTTTATTCGTATCCTTTTCATATATTCAAAATCATGTTTATACTTTATCTGTTATCTTATATATGCTTGACAAATGAATAAATAAATAAATTATTATATCTAAAACAGATAGACGTATGGATATCCACAACATGAAAAGACAAACTATATATCTAATGTTCTATGCTGACTATGTGTTACTTTCTCTTTGTTTATAAGTAGGTTTGAGAAGGGGAAAACTATTACTTTCACCGGAAATAACGAATACTTTGAAATGTTTTTGAAAAGTAGCATTTTATTAATTGAAAGTCACTTTGATGGTATATCTATATTTGTAGGGGCTCATGACATTATAATCTATCTAGTCCAGTTTTGATGTTACAATAAATTAGGAAAGGAGATGCTACTGACTCTGATTATCAAACAAACTAGAATGTCAGTAATGTGAGCTTTCCCAGGAATGAGTGGATGAACTGCAAAGCATCCTAGGAATGATTTCAAGCATAGCTTGTGAGCAATAAAATGCATCCACAGGGAGTGGTGGTGTAGCAATGTGCTACAGTGCTAATCAAGTTCTTTACTCCTCTTTTAAAATAGAACCCGAAGAGCAAGCTAAAGAACATGAAGAAGGTAAGTAAGTAGGAAATATCTGTCCGTCATAATGGTCTGAATGAGTGATTGGCTGAAATTCTCAGAGCTCTTATATTAGCTTAGGCTGAATAAAGATTAGCTCATATGTCATATTAGGCTTGTTTAGCATCCATGGATAAAGAGGACCAAGAGAATGAGTTTAGTTTAAAATATGTTGGGAAATAGGATAGAATAAGTGATGATGTAGCATAGCTTATGGTGGGACTTTTTGTTTGTTTGTTTTTGGTCATGAAGGAAAGGTGGCCTTGCTGTCCATTTCATTTTTAAAAGACATTCCAGTACACTCCAGAATACAATTATTGCACATTTACTATTGAAATATACTGTATAAAATTTGTGGTTCAGTGATTTTAAAGATATTAAAAGATACACAGTTGTGTTCAGTAATGGATGGAAAACGTGATTTAATAATAAAGCTCAATTCTCAACCTGAGAGAATAAGGCAAAAACTAAATAAGCATCTACATTTAAGGCAATCAGGAATCAAACACCCATTCTATTCACCAAGAATTAGTTTGGTAAACAATAACATCCGAACATTGCTTAAAGAAGCATCTTGTTTGAAAAGGAGGAATGGAGTATAAATATAAAACAAACAAACTATATGATTAACTTCAAAAATGAGAAAAAGGTGATCTGAACATTGGCAGATAATGCACTAATTAGAACCATTGATATGAGCTGTGGTGGCACTGTGGTTAGACTGCAGTATTGCAAGCTAATTCTGCTGACTGCTGACTGCAAGCAGTTCAGCAGTTCGAGTCTCACCGGCTCAAGGTTGACTCAGCCTTCCATCCTTCCGAGGTAGTTAAAATGAGGACCCAGATTTTTGGATGCAATATGCTGACTCTGTAAACTGGTTAGAGAGGGCTGTAAAGCACTGTGGAGGAGTATATAAGTCTAAGTATAACAAATACTAAAAATCAATGGAAGTTGGAAATATGGTTTTTCTTGTTCATTTTTTAAACTGGTAATCTTCTAGTTGGGATGCAACATTAAGTTGGCCTCTAGATCAGAGATCTTAGTATGCATACAGTAGCTTCAGCATGCTTGGAGTAAAATTTGATTGTGGTATACTAGCCAAAATATGACAAAACAGACCAATATCCTTTACAGTTAGTGGGGAATGTTGCTAGTTACATGGTTCTAGTTAAGGCTGGTAACTAGTCTGCTCCTTCTCTTTACTGAGACAGAGACCACCTTAACAGTTAGTGAAAGCCTCACCTTATCAAAGTCGTGATGGGAGTGGAGGTCAATATCCATGAACTCATCCAGTAATGATTAGGCATATAGAAAATTTTGACCTGGAATATGAAGAAGAGTAAACAATAAAGAACTTGAATTATTGAATGGGTGTTGGGGAGAGGAAAAAAATAGGGGTTTTTTTTCTTACCACTATACTAATAGACTGTAATTCATTTTGCTTAGCATTTCTTAGTCCCTCTCTGCATTTTTGTATGATACTGCTTATCCACAAAAGAAATAGCATGGTATTTATGATGTTTGATAGTTTTGTATTTGTTTTTATTGCAGGGGAATCAAAGCCCAAACCCAAGTAAGTACATATGCCTTGAGTGTTATGTTACCATAAATACATTAAAATAGAACATGTTTCTAGACTACATTTTTGTCATACAATTGCTTTGCCACGTTCAATGAATTTTATAGATTTAGATGAGATGCCATTACGTCTCATGTATAACCTGCCCATGTTTCCCCATTGGTTCTTTTTTTTTTCTTTCATAAAATTTTTTAAAAAGCAAAAGATGGAAAAAAATTTTTTATACTGGAACTGTTGTCTTCTGTGCACTTTTTATGTAGTGGCAGCAGGTCTTCCACTCTATAGGTAACCTTTTGAGCGAATAATGATTCACAAGAGGGTTGCAGTGGCTACTGATGTGGCTATTTATGCAGCCAGATGCTGCAGCAAATCACAAGACTCTGGGAACCCCTCATATCAAGACATGTGGGACAGCCAGACAAGGTCACCCCCATAATCAATGCATGTAGGACAACTAACATGGCTATCCTCATGCTCAGCTGAGACCAATACTCAAGTAGGGGCTGGACTCAAATCTTTTGCTGAAACTAATGTGCCATCCATACAACCGCTTCATTGCTCCTCAGGGAATAGTTGGCCTATAAGGAAAATAGAAAATAAGGAGAGATGGTTTCGAAGGTTTGATTGTTTAATTAGTTCTCCTCTTAGCACCATACCAGAGCACAAAACCCAGACAAAAACAGAACGGAGACATAGACATGATGACTGAAGTTGGAAGCCATAAATATCAGCTGTTCTATCCCTGTTGTCTCTTAGCCTGCTTTCTCTTAGCTGCATGTCACTCAGATGCTTTAATCTGTCCTATTTAGCATAGATTGCCCCATTTATAGTATAGCTGCAACCAATCCATTTCACAGTCCTTTAGACCTGAAATCCTCTGGTGATTAACTAAGCTTTGGAGCAACCTGATACAAGGAGATCCCAGAGTTCTCTGCATGCAGCAGCTGTCTTGGGATCCTCCATTATCGAGATGTCATTGCAGCATCAACAGCTGTCTGCACCAGCTAAGCTCCTAAGTCTTTTTAACTTCATATTCTGTGCACCTTCTTGAAATCTTGCAATACTTTTATCATCCTGTCTAATTTCTGCTAGAGATGGCAGGACCTTCATTTGCATTCTCAATATATCTGTGAGTTGACAGACTTTAGATCAAATTAACCCTAACCATTTAACACTGGAATGATGTGAGTTTCATCTCCTAAGGTCAGGATATCAACTATCTCTCCATGCTAGTTTTTTATTCTCTCTAGTCATCAGATGAGTCATTTATTCCTACAGCCAGGGTTCTGGTTGCACTTAGACTTCAGAAGTTTGATAAATGCTCAGGCCAGCTACCTTAAATTCCTATGAATGTATTTGTTCTATGAAATTGTGATTGTCCTTTATATTCAAAAATATAAACACAGACTTCAACCTAATTCTCCTATTGGCATGCACATAAAAATTAGTTGCAAATCTCTACTTTGGAAGAAGCCCTTATATTTCTGTTGTTGGCTTATGTACTAACTGGGAATAAATTCCATCGAAAACAGTAGATTTTTTTTTCTTTTATGTAAGTATTTTATATAAGTAATTATGTTGTTTAAAAATACAGTGTTCAATAAAACATTGAAAATAAAACAAAAAAAGAACAAAAAAAGAGTCAAGATAAATGAAAGAAAATGAAAGGAAGTAGGCTATTTTATAATATGAAACACAACATCATACTAAACATATTTTTATTTTTAAAAATGTATAGATAGAGGTATTCTATTAGGACTAGGAGGAATTATTAGGAATTGTTCTGATACAAATAAAAATTGAGACTAAATGTGAATAACATTTACTTTCAATTAAATGATTCTTCATGACTCAGTTCTGCATCAACTTTTCAGATAATGCTGTTTCCCATACTTTTCAATACCATTGATAAAAAATTTATATATATATATATATATATATATACATACACCAATGTTTTACTACAGAAAAGCTAACAACTTACTAAAACCCAAAATTGCATGCAATTCTTTGCTGTTATATTTTCTTATTTGTATTATTTTATATATCTTGGAAAAGTGTCTTATTTTATTTTCAGTAAAATTACATAGGATTATATTGCTAATAAACTTTTTTTTAAAAATTAATTCCATAACAGAAAATACATGATTTTTTTTGATAGTTCTGGAAGTTATCTAGAATTTTTAAAAATATCAGCTACAGAAGGGATGAGACAGATGGAAAGCAGTTGCGGCTTTCAGCCTTAAATGAAACCCTCATAAGGATAGTATTCCAATGCCAGATCTGAAGTTATTACAGCTGCTCAATACTTCATCTAAATTGGGTAAAGAAAAATAAAACTGCAATGACAGGTGGAGCCATGTTATACCTGGCAACCATTGTGACGTTCTATTTGGTGCTTCCTTTCCCCCACCACTCAAAATTAAATTGGAATTACAGTGACATTGGCAATCAGTTTAAATAAATAACCCACACTAATGAAATAGTGACCATAAATATTATTTAAAATAATAATAAAAATACAATATGCGTGGGGAGTTTGGAGATCAGCTACTATACTTTTAGCCCTTTTCTAGATTTGCATGGTAGAAAATATGAGTTTTATTCCTTTAACATTCTGAATGTGATACTGAGACGTTTCTGTTTTTAAGAAATGTTTTAGTCATGGACACATTTGGTTAAAGCATAAGATCATAAGGTTTATTTGTCAAGCATATATAAGATAACAGGTAAAAGTATAAACATAATTTGAATACATGAAAAGAGTAAGTAAAAAGGAATATTAGGACAGGGACGGTAGGCACGCTGGTGCTCTTATGCACGCCCCTTACAGACCTCTTAGGAATTATCTTAGGAATTATTTTAGGAAGATAATGCCCTTTAAATAGCACTGTGCAATTATTTTTTCACAGCTAAAGAAAGATGTTAAAAACATTTTTAAAAAAACCTACCAGTAAATACAACAGAGGTTTTAAGAAACAATGCAATTACTCTAAATTTTGTAACTTTTAATCATTTTTGTTTACAGAAAGAGCTATATCAATGTCATACAATTAGATAAACATCACATGACCTAAACTGTTTCATGTAGTTTATAGTTAAGAGAATTATATAATTGAAGACTTTCCCAAAATAAAAAATAAAAATGAGCTGTAACAAGCAATATGTAGGTTATACAGGTATTCACCTAGTTCGTGGTATGCTATTTTCTAGATTAAATATTTTTTTACCTGCAAAAGTGACAATGAATGCATTTCCTTATGTGCAGACACAATATAAAACGAATATTACAATGTGTGAGTTTCACTTATATTGTCTTCGATAATTTTATTTCAATTTGGAGATAAAACTCCTCAACACCAATTTGGCCCAATGATGTGAGAAATGCAATCAAAATCAATGAATTTGTAGGTATGCAGGAAGAGATGGAGTGAATTCAAAGTATGGAGTGACTTCAAAGTCAGGTATTGTATGATCTGTATTTTACTCTGTTTTTTTCCCTCTAATTTCAGATTGTTCATGCCTAATCTGGTCCCTCCAAAGATCCCTGATGGAGAGAGAGTAGACTTTGATGTGCGTATTCTTAGGCCATTGCCTTGGCCCAAACTAGTTCTTTCTTACCACTAAAGGTCTTTGAGAGAACAGTGCCAAATCTTGCTTACGCTTTTGTTGCCCTGCAGGATATTCACCGGAAACGAATGGAAAAAGATCTGAATGAATTACAAACTCTAATTGAGGCTCATTTTGAGAATCGAAAGAAGGAAGAAGAAGAGCTGATCTTCCTCAAGGACAGAATTGTATGTCATAATGGCATACTTTTTATTTAGACACTCTTTATGGTCAGACCCAATTCTCCTAACCCGCTAATGATTTAACTGTTTTATCAAAGTCACTGATTTTGCAGTTGTTCGTATGTAGCATCAAGACTGGGTTGTGAATCGATGATTATAACAATATGTAATTCTAGGCAATGCTAAGCAATTCTTCTTAATAGGGAATGACTGGGAACTGGACCGCACAAGTGGCAGGCGAGTGTGCAAGTACACAAAGCTTCATTTGTGCAAGGGTGGGTGTACATGTGAAACCATCCCAGGGGTGAAATCTAGCAGGTTCTGACAGGTTCTGGAGAACCGATAGCGGAAATTTTGAATAGTTCGGAGAATCAGCAAATACCACCTCTGGCTGGCCCCAGAGTGGGGTATCCTTCCCTGGAGTGGGGTGGGAATGGAGATTTTGCAGTATCCTTCTCCTGCCATGCCCAAGCCACGCCCACCAAGCCATGCCCACAGAACTGGTAGTAAAAAAATTTGGATTTCATCACTGAACCATCTCTTCCCCCCACATCACTGCCACCACTGCCGGTCCATGGATCAGAAAAGTTGGGGACTGCTGTATTAAAGGGGAAATAAAATTGCAGATCTTTATTGCTAAAGTAATTCTATGCATTTTTAGTAAGAAATAATATTCGTAGAGAAATTTATGTCCCTAGTAAGCACATTTAGGACACTCATTATAATATACCATCTTTATTGTTAGGAGAAATGATTCACAATTAATTTCTTGATTTATGTACAACAATAACTTCTATGCTACTTCAGTTAAATTAACAAAATTGTACTTCAGGTGTCAACAGTTCTTGTCCCTTCTCCATTGACAACATCAAATTTTAACATAAATCCTAATTGATTGGGCCACTAGTCTTTGTTCAGGAAGATATATTAAAAATTAAGCTTGCTTTATATAGGAGCAGCGGCGAGCTGAACGAGCTGAACAACAACGGATCCGTAGTGAGCGAGAGAAGGAACGCCAGGCCCGTCTGGCTGTGAGTCTATCTAACATTTATGGTGTACTTTCCTAAGCATTACTAGTGAAGTAACTTCCTTTTCTCACTCTTTAATAATAGTCATTGGTCAATACTCATCAATAATATCAGTCATAGCAAATATTCTGGGTTAATGCTTAATATTCCATTCACATTGACTCGCCAATGTTTTCACATTAATGTTTAACTCAACATCAAGCTGAACTGTTTTGGGAGGCGACCATTGGCTTTGATAAAATTATTGTCCCATAGTTATTATATAATGATATGATTAAATGCCAAATGATACGCTATTGATTTGATTTTTTTTTTTAAATTCAGAGGACAAGATGGTGCTAGATGCCTGACAATATAAATTGCTATATTTATAAATATAAAGTGCTAAATTTCATCAGTTGGTAATAATTGACCAATTACTGTCTATACATGCAAACATTATAACTGATAGCTTTTGCACTATTGAAAATACATGACAATTGTTGTCCCATTTATATATTTATATTTGGTTCTGTAAGAGTTCTGTACATCCAGTCTGATTCTTTAATTCTTGTCTGGGAACTGGAATCTTAAACCTAATGCTATTTGATTCACAGAGAGAAAAGCCATTGTTAACTATTAAATCTTTTTTTAATTGTCTTTTGGTGCAGTTGAACAACTTAAACAAGAACTAATTCAGAATTATCACTGTTCTGGCAAACTTTATGGCAAGAATTAGACTGCATTTATCTGCTATTGTCTTCTTAGTGGCATCTACTGGGTAAACATTTGACTTTATTATACATTCTCTATCCTTCTGAAAGACACATCTCCTCTCTTGGTAGGAAGAGAGAGCTCGAAAAGAGGAGGAAGAAGCTAGGAAGCGGGCTGAAGAGGATGAGAGGAAGAAAAAAGCTTTCTCCAACATGCTTCATTTTGGAGGCTACCTTCAGAAGGTGGGTGTATGACTGTTGTAACAGGTGACTCCATTGCAAAAAAAAAGTTGTATAAACTGTGTATACATTAAATTATATGGATGAAGACACATTTCACAAATACTTGTCATTTAAACAGATGTACATTATATCTTAAGGGACACAGTGGCTCAGTGGCTAAGACACTGAGCTTGTCGATTGAAAGGTGAGCAGTTCAGCGGTACGAATCCCTAGTGCATAACGGTGAACTCCTGTTACTTGTCCCAGCTTCTGCCAACCTAGCAGTTCGAAAGCATGTAAAAAAGAATGCAAGTAGAAAAATAGGGACCACCTTTGGTGGGAAGGTAACAGCGTTTCATGTGCCTTTGGCGTTTAGTCATGCCGGCCACATGACCATGGAGACCATCGGACAGCAGTGGCTCTTCAGCTTTGAAGTGGAGATGAGCACCACCCCCTCGAGTCGGGAACGACTAGCACATATGTGCGAGGGGAACTTTTACCTTTACATTATATCTTAGTTTAAGGTGATGCAATCTGAGCTGTTTGCTGTCCACATTCTAATTATCCAGTTTCTAACTACAAATTCAAAGCCACTCCTCCCCAATTATTTTATTCTTCTTTTTAAAATTTTTAACTGGATTTGATTTGCCTAGTCCTTCAAACAAAAGACCTGCTCGGAGGAACTGCTTTGCTTTGTCAAACAAGTGAAGGCTGAATTCACAAATTTTGAACTCAACATCTTCCCTCTGCTCTTAGAAAGATCTGCACTAATGTATAAAAATAATTTCATAATTGCAGTGCCCTTTGAAACTTTTTTATCTTTACTTTTAATCCACATGCACATAACATTTTGCCCATGAAATGGCCACTTAATGCATATGTGACTTCTCAGATTCACCACTGGAGAGAAGCAATTTGGTTGAACTTGACAGCCACTGATGTCACTCATGAATTGATTTCTTTAGACAGAGAAGAAAAGTGGGAAGAAACAAACAGAGCGGGAAAAGAAGAAAAAGATCCTCACTGAGCGTCGTAAACCCCTGAATATTGATCATTTGAATGAAGACAAGTTGAGGTGAGAGGGGAGCTCATTCCTTAGTCCAGAGGTCTTCTGTTCTGTTCCCCTTCCTCACACAGGCAAATGTAATACCAAGCATGCCTGCCAATATTTTATTAGGTAAACAGATTAGAATTCTTGGCAGACCAAGGTTTTGGCAGCAAACTGCCGAATGCCTGCCAAGACCGTTTTCACTCCCATAAAGCAGAAGAGGACTTATCTTCAGTCCGTTCCAGGAGCAACAAATTATCCACGAGACAAGAGTTTAGTCAATGTTCAGTCCAAAATATATCCAAGCCGAATTTCAGAGATCACGATGTGACTTTCAGGGTTTAACTTTGTCCGTCACAAAGCCTGAAGAGCAATCCCACCCACTTTTATTCCTGGTGGGGCGTGGCTCCGTAACTCAACTCAACTCTGGCCATCCAACGCCTCTTCCGTTGCTGCGCACGCTTCTCCCTCCGACGCTGCCTGGGATCAAGCTAGGATTCATCATCCTCGCTCCCTATCAATTGGTGCTCCGATATGCCTTCCTCCTGGCACTTCCCAGGCTGTTCCTCCTGGCCTTCGGATGGAACCTGAGGCATTGCCAGAAAGGCGGGTCCTGGAGAGGGAGGCCTTGTCAGTTCCTCCCCATCACCGTCTGAGTCCTCTTCCTCTGTTAGGACAGGCTCGGGAGTCGGGGTCACAACATCTTCAAACTTGGCAGCTTTAAGCTATGCTGGCTGGAGAATTCTGGGAGTTGAAGTCCACAAGTCTTAAAGCTGCCAAGTTTGAAGACCTCTGCCTTAGTCAGAAGACTAAGGGTCTTCTTTTCTTCAGGAATAGAAAGCAAGAAATGAGACTGGATTTTACCTGCTATTCCTTCTATTTCTTAGATATGATGTATGGTCGGGCACAAAGCAAATGTAGCCTAATTTCTGTCACTAATGTCACTCTCTCAGAGGATGGCATGATCCTGTTATAACCAAAAAAGAGCTGATGCTGAACCATTTTCTAGTTCCAAGATAAATAATTGTAAATCCTATTTACTTTGGTTATATCCATGCATACCAAGCAGTTTTGCATAGCGGGAGAATATTGGGGAACAAATGGTGTAAGAAATACTCTAGAGCAGTGGTTCTCAACCTGTGGGTCGGGACCCCTTTGGGGGTCGAACAACCCTTTCACAGGGGTCGCCTAAGACCATCGGAAAACACATATTTTCAATGGTCTTAGGAATAATTTTATGGTTGGGGGTCACCACAACATGAGGAACTGTATTAAAGGGTCGCGGCATTAGGAAGGTTGAGACCCACTGCTCTAGAGCATAGTTATCAAACTTGCAGCAACACATGGCTGTCACGTGATGTATCACAATGTTTTTTCCCTTCGTGGAACTGGGATGGGTCTGCATGTGATGCATCTGCCAGTTTGACATCCCTGCTCTAGAAGCACAATAAAAGTAAACATACACTCAGTCTCTGAAAAGGGGTGAGGAATCTATGGTCTTCCAGAAATTGGTTAACTGCCATGTGGCAAATGTAACTCCAATGTGGGCAAAGTACAAAGCCAAGCTGGTGTTAAAATGTTAATATATATTAGAGATCCCTAAGCAAATGGCAGTAGCCAAACAACTTCGATTTTTAATAAAGCTGAATTGGATCAAACCTTGTTAGTATTTAGATTGAGATCATCAGGGAAGTCCAGGGCAGAGTTTTACACTGGGAAGTAAAAAAAAAAAATCTGGGAAGAAAACAGTAGCAAACTACTTCTGTGTAGTTGCTATGAAAACAATAGGGATGTATTCATAAAGTCCACCAGAAGTCAAGCTCAAGCCAAGAGACTCTTTAGTTTTTCCTAAATCAGTGTTAGTATATCCAGATTCAATTCTCCAGCCAGCTGTAGAATTCTGGGAGTTGAAGTCCACAAGTCTTAAAGCTGCCAAAGTTGAAGATCTCTGGTATATACTAATGTTTTTCTCATCATGTAATTTATCAGGGTTTTGACATGTTTACAGTTCGTTAAACAGAATTGTCAGTTTGACTGCCCACAATTTGCCTTAAGAGATACCAGCAGGATTATATCTTAAATAGGTGCTACATAATTGTAATGATGACTGGTTGGGCGTCAGGCCGAAGAATGTACACTATTGCTGGCATCTGAGCTAAAAAACTACAACAACAACAGACCACTAGAGGGTGCAAAGATCACATAGAAAAAATACACAACTTCAAGAGACTGGTTGAGGGTTTTAGAAAACGCTGTGTCCTGCCAAGGGTGGACCACATTACAGAAAGGAGAGATTCTCATTTTTTTCTCTCTTCGTTCTTTTCCTATTTTTGATTGTTTGTTTTAGTGTCCTTTCCATAATAATTAAGGGGAGGGAATAATTCTAATCATCTTAAAGAGATAGTACAAATTAGTCTACTGTTTGGAAAGTGCATCAGAGCTCAAGATTTAAGTGGACTTTTATATGAATCCTTCTACAATTATTTTATGGTTTACATGGGCTTTCTGGAGTTGTGATTTCCAGAGCTTGAACAAAACCAGATGTGTAAACCAGGGGTGAAATGCTCCCAGTTCGGACCAGTTTGGCCGAACCGGTAGTGATGGTGGCCGGTGGTTCGGAGAACTGGTAACGATGGCAACGCGAGGCTCCGCCTACCTGCCCGGTTTTAACCAGGAAGTAACCTGTTTTTTACTCTCTGTGCATGCGCAGAAGGGTTTGTGCTTTCCCAGAGGGTCCAAGCACGCACATGACGTGCGGCATGTGCACTTTTGAACCGGTTGGGAAATTAAATAGATTTCACCCCTGGTGTAGACCAATGAAAAAGGAGGAAAAGAGAGGTGGTCAGGTTTTCCTCTACAGGGCTGGACTTTCATATGGGCCAGAAAATGTGAGGAGGCATGTGCTTCTTACAAGGTTATCCCAAGGAACCAACCACTGGATACTGTTTACCATCTTAGATATTGCTACACTGGTTTGTTCAAGCTGTTCCCTACTTATCAAAAGGCTAAATTCTGAAAAACTGGTCAGTATATAAACTCATTAAATTAGAATGCAATACAATCTCCATCGTCCCTTCTGCTATGGTGAATGGTCATGCTAGCTATAGTTCATGCATCAGATTGGGAAAGGCTGCTCTAGAGCAACATGCTCCCATTATATATTTCACTTAATTTAGAACTAACATGATTAGTATCTTTATTAATGTCATGTCTTCTCAAATCAGGGAAAAGGCCAAGGAACTGTGGCAGAGCATTCATGAACTCGAGGCTGAGAAATTTGATTTACAGGAAAAGTTCAAAAGGCAGAAATACGAGGTAAGTCTAAACATCGATATCAATCTCTTTACAGCTCTGGCTTCTGTATAGGGCTGTGATGGCGAACCTATGGCATGCGTGCCAGAGGGGGCATGGAGAACCCTCTCTGTGGGCACGTGCACTGTCGCCAGCTGCTCTTCTGGTTTCCAGTGCATGCATGTGCACCGGTCAGCTGGTCTTCCTATGCACCAGCCACCTGGTCTTTGGGTTTCCGCCATGCGCACTGGCCACCTGATCTTCGGGTTTCTGGCGCTCCGGCTCGTGCAAAGACCAGCTGGCTGGTGCACATGTGTGCACTGGAAACCTGAAGACTAGGTGGCCAGTGCGTGCATGTGCGCCAGCCAACTGGTCTTTGGGTTTCCGGCGCTCCAGCGCATTCCAGTTTGGGCACTCGGTGCCGAAAATGTTCCCCATCACTGGTATAGGGTAATCAAATGCTACTTCTTACTAAGACCGAGTGAAATTAAAGGAAATATATTGGATCTTTTGGGAGCTTTGTAGAATTTTTTTTTAATTTTTTGAGAATATTTTCATAATTGAAGTCAAGTTATGTCAATGTAGCAGCATGCATTATTAAAAGATATGTAGTCATGAATAGCGTACTGTGCTGTTAACAATGTACAAATTCTACAGGACACAAATGCAAGCTATGCATCCATAAAAGTTATCTTGGGATAGTTATCTGCTCAAAGAATTTTTCCATTTGACCTGGAAATGATTGCGGATGTCTCAGTAAAACTTGTTGTACAGCTGAATACAGACCTGTGATTCAGTATTCTCATTTGTATAGTGCAAAAGTTTTTATAACTCTTTTGAAACCACAAAGCAATCCGCCAACAAGTAGAGCAGTGTTTCCATTCCTCTCTGTAATTATCACAAGGGAGCTAAATGGGAAGATAGTTATTCTTTTAAGTACATGATCCCTAATTGGCTGGGCTCACCTGTGCAACTGATCCAGGAAGAATAAGAATTGCTTTTATGCTCAATTAGCTTCTCTTGCTTTGAGGAATATTATTGTGTCATGTCTTCATGAATACTGTTAATGACAAAATCCTTCATTGGCTGGTATTATTCATATTTCTGTGATCAAGAAATATCAGTCAGGAAGTGGGTGGACTGAAGCAGAATGGACTGAAGGAATCATGTTGATGATTGATCTCAGAGAAAGTTGAATATTTTCCTCATTTGGGTGTTCTAGTAATATTTTCTTTGCACTGAAGTCACTACTGAAAACGAAAATGGACAAGCTTTCAACACAATCTTGGTATTTGCTTTTTTTCCCCATTATTTTCACTGCAAAATGACCTATTCCCCCCCCAAACAAGAACAGACAGGCATGAGTAATCTGTCATGACTCATCTAAATGACAATCTAGATTTATTTCCATTTGGAACCAACATCATAAGTCAGTACTGAAGACCTCTTTACATGAGTGAAGTTACTTCTGTGCTTCAAGTGGATATAGTTTAATAGGTGAAAAAAAAAGCTTAAATCTGCTTTCCCTGACCTGAAGAGTTTTATTTGTGCTTGGACTACAATTATCAGAATTTCTCAATTGGCAAGGGGAATTCTAAAATTTGTATTCCCAATGTATGTGTGCACCCCAGGTTAGCAAAGGATATTTTAGGCATAGGAATAGGAGAAAGACCTTGAGAAATGGGGTAAAAAATGCTGCTTAGATAACAGTAAGATAAGATAAGGCCTAGCCCACACTGTGCAATGGGCAGAGAAAGAGGTGGAGAAGAAACCTTCCCTAGCTTTTCAGGCTGTAAAAGTGGCAGTAGGAGATTTGAACCTTCAGACTTGCAAAATGGACGTCAGCTTTCCCAGGCAGACCAAACGGAAACAAATACATTGTAAAGCTCCATTAACAGAATCTTGCAAGTCTGAAGTCCCATTTTGCAAATGTGAGGTTTTCTACAAACTTCATGGGACTTCTATCTTCTGCATACATAGATCCATTTTGTCTACATCAGAATTTACATTCAAAAAATGAATTTGCTGTTAACATTTATGATCAGCTATCTTTCTCCTTCTCCTCATGGATACTGGTGTTATTCAGGTATCAAACTGAATATTTAAGATCTGTTTCTCAGGATCACCATCCCTGTCTTTCTTTTAATATTTCCTTTGCAAATGTTTTAATGTTTATAGAAGTAATGAGCTCTTCATTCAGCCTTTGATGAAGGAGAATGAAACCCTTCACTTCATTGTCAATAAAAATTGCTCCCCACTTTTAAAAAATGTTTAATTGTAATCTACTTGTTTGAGCCATTGAGAATCAGGTGCATACAAGTTTCATACTTTTTTATTAATAGTATTTTCATTTGATATTCACCTATACTATCTGTGATCTAAACAAAAAAGCAATAAAAACACAGCATGGCATAAACCAGTGTTAATATAATCAATACCTAATCCCAGTAGTGTCATAATTTAAATCACTGACAAGTACTGTCCTGAAAAGTTCTTCTAGCTTCATAAAAGCCTTAAAATATTTAAATATATTAAATATTTAAAGGCCTCTAAAAATTGCATTGCTTAAGATGGAGTAAATTCTAAAGAGTAAGAGCTAGATGGAAGAAAGCTTTGAAATGGGGGGTGCCTATTCTAAGATAAGAAAAAATTAAGTAATCCTGATTGCATAAATGAGCCCAGCCTGCGGGAATATGAATTATGATTGTGTGGCATTCTTATGGACATGGAAAGTCAGCACCAGCAGTTTAAACTACTAACACATCTATCAGAGTTCCAAGTAACATCCCCAACGAAATCAAATTCCGAGCCTTGAAATTCCTCAAAGCTAACTTTTATTAGAGATGTCATATTGACACATCTGGGAAAACCCAAATCTGAGAGCTTCCGGGTTTTCCACACCCAAAAGAAAGCTCAAGTCCTTGCCCCTCACCCACATGTTCACCACATCCAATCATATACAGTCCGGAACAGAAGATATCCTCCTCTTCTTCTCAGCACAGCTGCAGGGCACCTTGGCCTTGACTTTCTATAAAGAATTTTATTTTGGCTACATATCTTCTTCACTCTATACTATCCCCCCTGCCAACTTCCCACAGTAGGCTTGTGGCAGGCCTGCAGCCTGAAGGCACAAAGGTAGAATGATGGCTTCTAGGCAGTGGTGGGTTTCAAATAATTTAACAACCGGTTCTCTGCCCTAATTATTTCTTCCAATAACCAATTCACCAAGCTGCTCAGAAAGCTAACAACCGTTTCTCCCGAAGTGGTGCAAACTGGCTGAATCCCACCACTGCTTCTAGGTCTGACAACACCCATATATTCAGCCACTTTAAGAATTGGCAAAAAAAGGGTGAATTGGGAGAGATCCAAGCCTATAGAGACTGTGCAATTCTGGACTTAACCCAGAACACAGAAAGCAGAGTTAAGAAACTAGGTAGCAAACTGCAATAATAATTCAGGAGAGACACCAATATAGGAACTAATCAATAGTTAGAAATGGCTGAATCCTCCAGAGGTTCAGATGGTGAAAGTTTAAAAAAAGGTGGATTTATCCATGAAAGGCTATAATATTCTCCTTTCTCTAACCCTAACCAGATTTCCATACTTACTGCACGCTGTGATGAGTTAAGCAAGTAGTAAGTATAGCCTGTTTCCTGGAAACATCATATATGGTGTGGAGCTATGTATGCAACTCGCTGCTCTCAATAGTGTCCTCAATTGTCCTGTGAAATCTGGATGCTATCAATGCCTTTTCAGATAACTTTGTTGTTCTTTGGCATGTTTGCCTGCTTGGTTTGCAATGATTCCTATAATCAAATTTAAGTCCTGTGAGGTCAAGCAGCCTTTTGTCTTTTCAGCCATCGACAGGGCTATGGACATGAAAAATATTTTGGAAGCTTTCTTTTCTAATTGGAACCCTGTACCAGAAGCAGCAGCAACTAAGCAGCCTAACCTAACTAAACAAATATTGCTTTTCCAGTTCTCCCTTTCTTTTACTCCAGCCTTTGATCCTTCTCCTAAATAGAAGTATTGTGATTCTTTTGCTTTTGGCAATGAAAGTTCCAAGATCCTTTCCTGTTAACTTCATTATGCATCACAAATTATTAGAAATGTTGTAGGTTAACTAACATTAAACTGTTTGTTCATGTTGTATATGTATCTTTAGTTGCTTTGTGATTTCTTCTTTTTGGAATTCTGAAAATTAATCAACATAAATTATGACTGGCTGACATTTCAATTACCCACGTAGTAATGCAACGTAGTTTTATGGTATTATTAGTATTCCTTCCATTTTTATGAATGCTTTGAGTGAACTCCATGAACAGGACATGTTTGTACAGAGAAAATGCATAATGTTCAAAATGGAGAATATTGTGGAGCTGTGCTAAGGAAAGTACAGTTTCAAGAAATGCAGATCCTGCCACAAATAGCAGAGCGCACCTGAAAGGAGAATATTCACATGCCATTCTGTTGCTAGAAAAGGACTCAATGGGAACACGTCGGAGAAGCAATCTGAAAAATGAAGCCCTCAGAGATATAGTAGAGCAGGCAACTGAATTTAAATCTCCTCTTCATTGAAAGAAGGCATATTGTAAGAAAAAGTTATACTGATATAACCAAAACAAAAGAAATAAGGATGGAGGTAAATAAACATACACCAACCAAATATGTTTCTGGTTCTCACTTCGACATCTGCTACCGCCTACGGCCTTCCTGACTATTGGGGATAATGTCTTTGGTTTATGTTCTTTTCTTGGCTTCATACCAGTGGTGAAATGCACTACCTTTGCTACTGGTTCAGGAATGTGAGCGCATGCGCCTCTTCTGCACATGTGCAGAGGGTCAAAAACAGGATGTAGTGACGTCCAGGTGGGTGGACGGAGCCTCCTGCCTTCGGTGCTACCGGTTTACACGAGCTGGATAAATCCAGCCAGATTTCACTGCTGCTTCATACTGTGCTGACACAGTAGCTCTCAGGCTTTCTTCTTCTTGAAACATCATTACCTATTTATTTTTCTTCCAGATTAATGTTCTACGGAACCGCATTAGTGATCATCAAAAGGTGTAAGTACTCAGAACATGTAGTAAAAGGTCCACCATGTTTCATAGCATCAAGCACTCCCAGTAGATCTTCCACATTTATCTCTTTTTTTTCTTTGCACTTCACAAATCTTTCCAACTTTAATGTGTGCTCTCCTTTTTGTCTTTTTTTTTCTTTTCCTGTTCTGCTTCATTCATTTCTATTAATCCTTTGCTCTTCATTTCTTGCCTTTTCTGTTATTGCTACCCAAGGCTAATAAATGAAGACAACACCTTCTGTAACTTGGTGTTCAGGTGTCTTGAATGAAGCACTTCTACTATTGGCAACTTATATCATTCACTGCTACTTTTTTATTGTTTTTCTTATTTAATTTCTTTGTCACTTATTTCAATTGAGCTTTCTCACTTTCTCTTCTGTCTACCATTTTTATAAATTTTGTTTTCCCATTACTATTTATTCTACATATTGGGTGTAGGAGAGACATTAAAAATTTTTATGAAACAGAGTGATATCAAGAGGGCTCCCACTGCAATGATGTATGAGACAATTTTTTATGGGTCAGCAACAATATCCTACCTTTGCCATTAGTGGATCTTTCCCAATTAGCTGACTAGATCCAGTCCCAGACAATTTAGTATTCTCCAATAAAGTTGGATTATAACTCTCAAAATTCTAAGCTAGGGGTGTCAAACTTGATTTCATTGAGGGCAGCATCAGGGTTGTGTTTGACCTCTGGAGGTGGGGGGACATGGCAGGGAGACATGGCCAGCTCAATGTCACTCATGTTGGGGGTGCCTGTGGTGGTCCGAGTGCTCCGCCAGTGAAATTGGGCTCCCGAGTTCCGTTTTCACCTGCGACGGCCTCCTGCAACCCTCTGCCATCAGTGGCCCTCCCGAGCTCTGTTTGTGCTGGTAGCGGCACCACAGGCCAATCCTTTGCTGTTTCCAGGGTAGCCCCATGGGCCAGATCTAAGCACCCCGTGGGCTGGATCCAGCCTACAGGCTTTGAGTTTGACACCCCTGTTCTAAGCTATCACAGACATTATAGTCAAACACATCTGAGAAGAAACATGTTGGTTAAGGTTGTTTTATTCTTTCCCATCCCAATCTAATTTGTAGCTCCCACATTTTTCTCTATTTCTTCATGTTCATTTCTAATTTTCCTTCTCCAGCTGCAGTTTTCACTAAGTTCCTTTGCACCACCTTTTTCTTTTCATCTCTGAGCATCATTACTTTCTCATAGAACCTCATTCTTCTCATTCTTTCAGTGCACCTCCTTACTAAGTACAAGAAAGGTGCATTAATTAAGATGCATTTCTAATACTTTTCTGTGGCATGGCTTGTTTCAGTTCAGTTTTACCACAGTATGTGTTTTGTCAAAATTCAGCTTTGAAGTGGAAACCATTCCTCACCTATGGATCATATAATTCATTTTCTGAGACCCAGAACATTCTGTGTCTTACCTGATGAGTCAGAACTATTCTACTCAATTATGAACTATCAGCCAACATTGGTATCTTTCCATTTTCCTTGGCTATGCCTATCAGTTCAGAGATGGGAGTAAAGGCACAAAGAGGCTAAAAATGCCTTGGTGTTATATGCATGGATTATAGGAGTCAGTCTACACCAAGTGGAAACTCTTGATACTTTTTATCTTTATATGGATCCTGCTTCTCTTATTGATGTGAGCAACAAATATAGCTGTTTGTAGACTGGAATAGTTCCAGATTCCTATTTCAACCCAGAAACAAATGGCATCTTGATTAGGAATGTCTTGATTTCTGGTGGCCTTTTTAGATTCATCAGATAAAACTTATTGGTTAGACTAATCTACTGAGCACTACTAAACTATATTTCTTCTTTTGTCTCCTCATTTATTTCAGGAAAGGGTAAGTAGCATGTTGTGCCCTTTGGGGTGTATTGATCTGTTGTGCTAGTTTGCATTGTGAAAATACTTAAAGGAATGGCTTTAAGCATCACTCTATGTTATCATTGGTTTCACAGCAAATCCTGATTTCTTATCTATCTCTATTGATGGCCAACTTAGGTTTTGTGCAATGCTTCTTGTGCTCTGATTTCAGTTTTATTCCTGGATAATCAGGGAAGTGTCAGGGGTTTTGTACCATTAAACACTGATATTTCCTCTCTACCTTCCAAATTTGGTAGCATGATCGGAGGATGCTCTGGAGGCTGATAATAGGGAGCCTGGGCTACTATAGAAAGTGGAGGAAATGATAATTTTGTCAGGTCAATAGAAGATGAGATCACGTCAATAGAAGATGAGATGACTAGCAAAAATGAATAATAATGGTAATCTAGGAAATCTCTGTGAATCTTTTCAGAGTAATAAATATCATTCTTAATCTGCCCTCAAATTTAGGAACAGCTGTTGCCCTTTCAGAGAAACAAGACAAATGTATTGGCTAGACAGAGAGGATAAAGAATTAAACCAAATGTTTATAAATTTCCTAGTTGGTTTGTCACAGCCCATCTAAAGCTGGATGGTATCTCTAGCTTGCTTCAGCGACATTGCATTCTTGCTCTTTAAAATGTTTTCCGAATGGCTCATGCATGGCCTATGTCCAAAACACCATGCAATTTTGTTTACAGAACAATCCACTTAAGGGAATGCTCAGTGTTAAAACTGGATAGGCAAATTTCCATTTAGTATTCTTTCTCAACCTGGCATTCTCTAGATATTCAGGACCAATTCCCATAATCCTCAGTAGCAAGGACTATGGTATAGCTGGGCACCATTTTCAGATCCCAGGGTTACACAACTCACTGAGGAGTATATACATAGGCAAACAGTTACATATGTCAATTTATACTAGTGTACCTCAAATTTGGCAGCTCTAAGATATGTGGACCTCAATTTGGTGAACAGTTGACTTGTGATAAAAGTTTATTCATTAGTTTTTTTAATCTCATTTTATTACTTTATAAGTAACTCAAGGCACTAAACATCCTCCTCTTTTTCTCCACAACAACACTTAGTAAGACTTCCAATGGCTGTATATGAAGTTACTAATTGTTTGCTGAAGCATCAATCCAGGCAAAATTAGGGAGAAAAATATTTTATATCACTACTTCTTTTATATTTTTACTTATTCTTCTTAATAACCTGGAATAATGGGAGATTAATTACAGTTATTCTCTAATTTTGCCAATATCCCACCTTTTTCCAATTTAATTTGAGAGGACTTAATAAATACTTTAAAGAGGAGAGCTAATAAAAGATACATTGTTTCCTCTGCTATCTTTTATCAAAATGAAATTATTCTGTAAAACTGGTAGTGATCACATAGATAATCTCCATGTCAACTTGTTATTTACTAGCTTGTATGTTTTTTTATGGTAAGAAATAAATATTTTAATAAATGTACAAATAAGTAAAGAAATAATTGTAGAGTACCATACCTTATGAAAACCAGAATTAAAATAAATTAATCATCATCATAAACAATAAACCATTTTATCTTACCTCCCTCTAGTCTCCTTTTGCCTTAAACCTGAAAAGAATTCAACATTGATAATCTTAGTCCTATTTGGCCTTTCACCCAACTATTGAGTATTGATTTATTTGGAAGAAACAACCTATTTTCTAGCTTAATCAGAAACAAGTGGAAAAATACCGTGGAAAGCAAAAATTTACAGATTTGCAATTGAGTATAAACATTCATTGCAAGGCCACATTATATATAATGTCTACTGGCACAAGCTTCCTTTAATCTCATACTCATTTTAAAAGAAAATACTTTTTAGCATACATTCCTCACAATTTTAGCAAAAAGAACAGATTAATCCACGCTGAAGCATTTTTAACATCTTCCTGTAAAAAAAACAAACCATAAATGTAGTGTAGAATTGTATTTGGTGAAAATGCTGAAAATTAATTAGCCCCACTTCCCTCATAAAATTATAGTTCCCAAGGCTCATTAGAGAATGAGAATCATCTTGAAGTCTTGGGTATAGTTATGGCTTTTAAGGCACAAGCTGATTTTCCCCTTAGGGTTCCACTTCCTTAGCACACAACTCTTACCTTATTATGCATTAAACATGATGTGTTTTTACTAAGCACTTGCCTTGCTCTTCCTTCAGGGACATTTGTGAGCCCTCTGAGTACCAGATTGGTTAGCTTGGGCTGGGCAAGGTCTCTGAAAGGATTCTGCTGAGAGCTCAAAAAAAAAAAAAAATCTTGTGAAAAGCAGGGGTGAAATGCTCCCATTTTGGACCGGATTGCCTGATCCAATAGTGATGGCGCCGGGTGGTTCAGAGAACTGGTAGCAAAAATCCCTTCCCCCCCCCATGCCCATCTGAGCCGCGCGATCATCAGAGGCTTTTTTTTATTATTTTTAAAAGCATTTTTTCTACAACCTCTTAAGCGGAAAAAATGCTTTTAAAAGTAAAAAAAAAAGCCTCTGATGATCGCATGGCTCAGCTGTGATCATCAGAGGCTTTTAAAAGCATTTTTTCTACAACCTCTTAAGGTTGTAGAAAAAATGCTTTTAAAAGTAAAAAAAAAAAGTTGGCCACGCCGACCCAGTCACATTACCCCCCATCAAGCTACGCGCACAGAACCAGTAGTAACAAATTTTACATTTCACCACTGGTGAAAAGCCTCTCTTCATGCCCCTTTGTTCAAAGCAAAAGTAGATCCAGACCATTTCTCCCTACTCCCCTTTGCTTTGTTGAAACATTTGCAAAAAAAACTCCACAGAAATTCCTCATTTGTTTTTTTCCTTTCACAATAGCTCCAAGGCTGCCCGTGGAAAGCCTGTGGTTGGTGGCCGATGGAAGTGAAATGTGTATCCTGTCGAGACTCTGAAGACAGCCATTCAATACATTTGATCCACTCTCCCAGTCTGTGTGGTCCAGATAACTGCACCAACTTGTCTAGATTTTCCAGAACAATCTGCTTTCTAAAGGCCTCACTCTATAACTGCACAGCTCCAGCACTGCACGATGGAAATGGACAGATTACCTGTCACTCAAGTTAATACATTTGTGTCTGTAAATAAAGCAACTCAAAAAGCTGTAATTATTTTCTTTGCCTAATTTTATCATTTGCTTTTTACTGTGTAATTTTACACAGTAAATTTTAAAATTTTAATCTTAAATAGAAAGGAACAGACCTCTTTTAATCCTGGAATTCTTCATATATTGCTAAGAGAATGTACCTTTAAAAAAGTCATTCCAACTTGGAATCTTATTGCTATTAATGATTTTGTTATTGGAAGAAGTCCGTTTATCCTGTCAAGAACCTTATTTTAGAGATCACCCAGATTTGAAAGCTGATTGTTCTTATGCAACACACTCTATCCATATGGTGCTTTATAACATGTATGACATGTTCTCCAGGTTACATGTGGCATCTCCAAGCTATATGTCATAGAAGTTCTGGACCATGCCACCCACTGGATTCTGAACTCCAGTATCTCCCTCCAAGACACACCCACACATACACACCCACACACACCTTCAGTTTAGGAAGTTCAAGAAATTTTCAAGGCAATTGCTTCCTAAGCAACAATTTACTGTTTTCAATAGCAGCAGCAACAGCAATTAATGTATTGATTAATCATTTGACCATATTAAGATAAGGGCTTTGGAGCTAACTAGATTTCTCTGAAGAAAAGGAGAAAGCAGATAAAACTACTTTGCCAACTTCTCCCCGATTCACTTTGTCTCACCTCTATGTACCCAGGAAGACTCACAAGGAACTGTGAACAGTCAAAACCTGGAGCAATCCTGGCGGTGTTCCCCCATGTTTGTCTTTGTAGTAAACAAGTGCAACAACAAATAAGCAAAAAGCCCACGCCTGACATAATTGTGAAAAGCATGTGATAAAAGTGACAATATGCTGTCCTTTGGCTTCACAACACATATTCATAATGGTTTTTAAATAGAAGTGGGTGAATTGCGCTTTGCAGCCAGTTTGATTCCTCTTGTAACAATCCTTCAGGCTTTTTATTTGTTTGTTTGCAAAATAATAAAAAAGAAGGTTTAGTAGTTAAAAACATAGATGAGGGACACATTAGCAATTTATTATCTTGTTCTTTTATGTGATCACCTGGGGTATAATTTCAAAAACAGGCGAAACTATGGAAGAGAGAACTAATGGAATGACATTTTTGCATTTTCCTACTGATTGGCTGATGGGAGCACCAATTGGCTCATACTTCTGTCGCTTATGCTTAGTACTTTGAGGTCATAAGCAGTGGTGGAATTCAAAATTTTTTGCTACTGGTTCTGTGGGCGTGGCTTGGTGGGTGTGGCTTGGTGGGCCTGGCAGGGGAGGGATATTGTAAAATCTCCATTCCCACCCTGCTCCAGGGGAAGGATACTATAAAATCTCCATTCCCTCCCCACTCCAGGGGAAGGTTACTGCAAAATCCCCATTTCCTCCCGATCAGCTGGGACTCGGGAGGCAGAGAATAGATGGGAGTGGAGCCAGTCAGAGGTGGTATTTACCGGTTCTCCGAACTACTCAAAATTTCCACTACCGGTTCTCCAGAACTGGTCAGAACCTGCTGAATACCACTTCTGGTCATAAGCAGAAGTGAGAGCTGATATGGAAATGCCCAAAGTTTCTTCTCTAGGGAAGTTAGTATAAGATAATGTTTATTATCCTGAATTTCAGAAACTGTAAATGAAATAAGGTTCGCTTTTGTGATAGATTGAAGATTGCAAATTGATCAGAGGAATTAGAAATAACAAAAGGCAAGGAATAGTGGGACAGTGAGAAGAAATAAGATTAGGAAATGAGTAAATGCCACAACATCTCAGTTTTCATGCGAAACTTCAATGCTTCTGGCATTTGCTGGAGTTTGTTCAGAGAAGAAGCTGAAACCAACCAATTGGCAAAGTTCTCACATCTTCTTGGGGTCCAAATGAGCTGGTCATACAAGCACTTTTCTTCCAGAACATCACCAGCATCATATTACAAATTTATATTCTTTCTTTCTTGACAACTTTTCAGATGTAGGAGGCACTGACTTGGGTCCAACGTACAATCAGTTGGAATAGCATTGCAGATATGCAGTATGATTTTTGCATTGCTTGGAAGTAAGCACTTAAAACCATATTAGAATATTCCAAAAATCATTTCTGATAGCATATACTAACAGTGACCAAATTTTCTTGAGAACAAATAAAGGGCAAATTTGAAAAGTGGTATATATGTTTATTTTAAAAAGATAATTCAATTTCTACATTTTTCACCTGAATGTGAAAGAACATGCATTAAATGGTGCTATTTGCATAATAAAGGTTAAATGAGCAAAATAAAGGACAAAAATTAGTTTTTGAAAGATAACTAAATCTAACATGATAGGAAGAAGTGATCTATATATTTTAACTTTAAGGGGATGGGAAATTACCACGTTTGCATACACTTGCTCTAAAGAAGATTAAAAGTCTCTTAATTATTCTTTTCTTTCTTTTTTCTTTCTTTTTGCACTTTCAATTTTTCTACTTTTCTTTTCAATTTTTCTTTGTTTTATCTTTTTCTATTGTTAAAATTATTTAATAAAATTATTGGAAAAAACTGAGTTCAACTCTTGGTGACTAAATGGATTAAAATAAACTGGAAATAAGTGGGAATTGTGGAAATAATGAGGAATTTTCCTGACAGTGAGAATGAATTGGACACCTTGCCTTGCTGTCCAATTCATTTGGACACCTTGCCTTCCAGAATTGTGGGTGATTATTGCTGGAGGTTTTTCAAGAAAAGATTGGCCAACCAATCTTTTCATATTGGACAACCAATCAGTCCAGAGTGGTATAAGGACTTCTGCCTTGGGCATCGAGTTGGACTACAAGACCACCAAAGTTCCTTCCATCCCTATGACTCTATGATTTTTCTTTGCTGTTTTTGCATTCTTCTTCACAAAAAAATATGGAAGCAGGTTGCCACTATTTTCCTGTAGGGGAAATTTTGTTTTGTTTTATGTCTCGGACTAATATGTATGCAAGTACTAACAAAATCTGACCTTCTTTAGCTTTGAGATCAGCTAAACTAGTCCTTGGTAGCCAAACTAAAACTTGGAAGTAAAAAAAAAAAAAAAAGCAGCAAAAAGCTACTGTCAAACATTTTCCTCTGTTTAACACAAGGTGGAGCTTTGACATCTGCTTCTACCTCTCCCTACCATAATTACATCTTGCTGTCTATTGTGCCTGTTGATGCCAAGATCCTGGCACTGTTTCATCCAGCAATACCAGTCCAGACTACCTCCTGGCCTAGTACAATCATTTTCAAAAATAAATTGCTAATACAGAGTCATCAGTTAAGATTGAGAATCTGCTATGTGTGATGCTGTATATGTGCTGTGCTCTCCAGAGAAGCAGAGATTAAACTGCTAAATAAGAAGGCATCTCTTATTGCTTTTCAAAATAAAAGCTTCCCAAATTGTGTTTGTTCTCAAATAGCAAAAGAGTAACAAAATGAATCAAATCTTTCAATTCCCTCCCAAAACACAAGTGACCGAGCCCTGCAATTTATGTGCAACAATTGTTTTGATCATCATAGTCCTTGGGACTAATTAAAAGAAATGCAGCCTTGATTGCTGCAAAGTTGCTCTTCTTGTCTTACATATTAAATGACGATATTTAAGAATATTTTAGGCATCAAGTGGATAAAGTCACTAAGATTCATTCATAGTTGCACTAAACTGGTCTGACCTGGTTAAGGTGCCTGATTCACAATCATACTTAGTTACTTGAGACGAGTTTGATGTTGTAAACGCTAATAAATTGGGCAGGATCTTTAACATTTTTCTCTTGGCTTCTGGCACAGTTACTGTTTTTATTGTATATCTTTTTGTATTTATTGTTATGTTAATTTGCTTTAATTCCAGTGTTGTCTGGATAACTAAAAATTGAAAATGGAGTTTAGTGATTTGGAGACTATAAGAGAAGGAAATAACCGTTCTCAAAACTGGTCCTGGTGACTATATTTTCCTTTTGAACTTGTTGCTGGTCCTTCAGATTCAGAATCTTTTGCAGAAATATTGTCAATGCAGAAGGTACTAGTCCTGGCAGCATGCTCTTATTCATGCCTTTGATTAAGGAGGTAATCGTCTCCTTTGATACAAAAATCAAAGTGAATTCATTTAGTGCAGCAAACCAACCACCAGCCTGAGTGAGGTTTCTTTATTAAAACTAATTTTAAATGAGTTTCAGACATTTGTCACAGTGATCTTCCCAGGTGTGTTACATAGCTGGTTCCGTTTGGTTTCTAAGAACTGGTTGCTAAATTATTGCACACATTACAACTAAGTTAAACCTCACATTTTTCCTGCTATGCCTGACAAGCTGGCTTATCCAGGCAGGGTTGGAAGAAAAGCCCAGAATGTGACGTAGAGTAAGCTTTGCATGCCTAGGCAATCTGAAGCTCTAATAGAGCAATATTTCATGTTTCCAGATAGAAAGGCTGCCAGGTAGATGGAGGGAAATGTATTTCTTATCATTAAGTGTGTTAAAAATACTGGAATCTAGGCAATAATAAATAATTTAACTTATTTTGATTCTTTTTAGAGTTTAATGTGAGTAATTCTGGTTTATGGATCAACATTTCTCTATTATTTTTTTTTTAAATACTCTTGCCTGTTTAGTTCAACAGGGCACAAAACTGTATTATGTTAGTATAATTCTATCAAAGTGAATTTATTGTACAGTGAATTACTCTCGACTGGTAGAGCCTTTTTTGCTTTAATTATCTGTTGCCATATGAATAATATGAATGTTAGGTGGGGGGAGTTAAATATAAATCTAGATATTCATATTTTTAGAACCACTCTCATAAAGAATATCAAATAATGTCTTCAATTCTCTGATTAAAGCAACCAGGACAAAATTTTCTAAAATTTTATTATCAAGAAATATCATGGAGTTTAAAGGCAATTCTTTATATTGAAAATATTTTTCCTTCAGTCTTATATAAAATAAAACCAATAGATTTCTGAAGAGTTATGATTAATTGATTAGGTCATCACAGTATAACAACAGACATAAGTAATATCCAGAATGATCTCTCTCCAT